TAATGTCTTTTAGCCGGGCTTTCTTCGGGGGCTGCATTCTTCGTTCTTTGGTTGAAGAGTCGCGGTGCTGGGAGCTTGATCGAACGGCTCTTGAGTTGCTCGAGTTCACCACCGTCGGATCGATTGTAGGATTAGCCAATCGTCCGGTCGTCTCGATTCTGATTCGGCGCTCCGGGGTTAGAGACGAACTTCGTCGAGCCCGTGGTGAATCTTGAGTCGATCTCGGTTGAAGTTGGTCCAGCTGTGCTCGGTAACCGGCCTGTGCCGTGCTGAGAAAGTCGAGCCGCGTGTTGGATGATGACTTCCATCATGGCGGCCATGGGATCCTGAACCGGGGCGACCGCTGCTTCCTCGGTTACGGTTACCGCCGGTTCAAGCTCCGCGCGTCTCCCTTGGGCAGCCATTGGTTGGACAACCTGAGGGCGATCCGGGGTATCGAGGATAACTTGGTCGTCAAAGGCTCGTTCTTGCTGAATTTCGTCCATTTCTGAGTCTGTATCGTGAGTTGGAGAATTTCGGTCCCCTACCTGGCGCGCCAATTGTTGATCCATGAGTTCGACAATAAATTTATATACGGTAAAGGATCGNAAATTCTCGTTTATTGATATTAACTCGGAAACGGGCTACTACATAGAGAACTGTACATGCTAGAAAAAGATTGTGTATTGAGCTCGGAAGCTTAGGTCGGCTGACGAATCTTGTGTTCGGTTATCTGAGTATCTGAGTGAGTTTATGAGATCGTCGCTTTCAAGGTCGGAACCTGTAATTGAAAACGAGATCGGGTTAGAGATCCAAACTGACTGAATAACTGGACGACGAGGTCGTGAATCGGAGGTCGGAACCTGATGATAAGTGCACTCGAGGTCGGAATGCCGGTGTGATANGTACGAACTCTGNGCAGCCTTTCCACGAGTAGTTCTTGTCCTTTCTGACCAATCAGGCTCGATCAGGTGATTCTTTCCCTTTTGGTGTTAGAGAATGATTGCTTTAAGCTCTCAAATTCCCTTGTACTTGCCCAAAAGTGGAAAAGTGATCCCCTTCCTCATGGGATGGAGACCCCTATTTATACTAAAATTGGAGAGAATAAGG